GTGGAGACAGGAGGACCAGAAGTTCCAGGGTATCCTTGAATACTTCAACACATAGGAAGTTTAAGGTTCAAATAAAAGTTTAGAATGGGTATGTTGGTGCATGCCTGCAATCCCAGGAAGCTGAAAGAAGATTGCAAGTATAAGGCTGCTCTGGGCTGCATAAGGAACTTGTAGGTTTTTTTCCTCTTCTATGGCACTGATAGTGTTAGGTTTATCCAAAGACCAACTTAACATCATGAGTCCTGTATCTTCAACTTCTGCCTCTAGTTTTTCTTCCTAAAAGGCCTGTGTGTGTGTGTGTGTGTGTGTGTGTGTGTGTGTGTGTGTGTGTGTGTAAGAAACCTGTAGTATGGTGTATATATGGAGTTCACAGGGTAAGTTAATGGAGTCAGTTCTCTTATTTACAAACATGTGAGTTCCAGGGATTGAATCCAGTCATCAGGCTTGGCAGCAAGCACCTTTGCCCACTGATCCATCTCACTGGTCCCTTTCTGTAACCTTTTGATGTAGGACTAGGGACCAGACTGAAATAAAAAAAAATAAAAAAAAAAACCACAAGTCTTTACTGCTGCTGCAGAAGAGAAGATGTATTTTATCCCTTACCTCTTGAAGTGCAGAATGGAAATCAGAGGAAGGGCTCTGGAAATCACCCAGCAGCCTTCTCTTTCTGACGCTCGATTTACCCAGAAACCTTATCTGACGGGAATATCTCCATATGAACCAACAATTTCCAGAACTCCTTTACGGTTGTTGTAAATCCTTCAGGGTTGTTGCAAATTAATTGCATCTCCAAGGACAAGTAAGGAAGTAGTCCAATTAGGAAGGAGAACCCATGCCATTTCATCTCATGTACCTGCTGGAGGAGAGCTCTCAGGCGAGAGTCATGCAGCACAAGACAAGTACTTACTTGAGTCTGCTCTTAAGTCAAATGTTGATTCTCTGTCTTTAGGAAAAAATATTTTGGTGTTAATATTACCACAAGAGAAAATTTTGGAGTGGGAAGAGTGTATGTATAGATCTGATAAAAAAAATATAGGTGTTAATGATTGTTAATTTTGCCATAACAAGGGGAAAGTCATAGTGGACTCAATCAGAGTGGTATTTCTGGCCAAAGTACAGTCCAATATAATCAGTCAGGTTTCAACTCTTCCTGGCATCAGACAAATGTCTAAACTTCAATTTTGTGTCCTTGTCAAACTTAAAACGGGCTTTTATCCCACTGGTGGTTCTAGCTCCCACTACAAGACCATGTGCCTGTCAGCTAAGAAGAGCTAAGTGTGACTCACACTCTCTTCAAGGCGCAGCCCAGCATCATACACACTGCTTCTACTCCTATCTCTATGTTCAAAATCTAACCACATGGTCACATGTAGCTGCAAAGGAGGCTGGAAAATGCCATTAGCTTGTAAGGAAAATGTTGTTCTAGTTTACATTTATTTATTTATTTATTTATTTATTTATTTATTTATTTATTTTGGTTTTTCAAGACAGGGTCTCTGTGGCTTTGGAGGCTGTCCTGGAACCAGCTCTTGTAGACCAGGCTGGTCTCAAACTCACAGAGATCCGCCTGCCTCTGCCTCCCGAGTGCTGAGACTAAAGGCATGTGCCACCACCACCCGGCTAGTTTACTTTTATATTGCTGTGATAAATACCATAACCAAAGCAACTCTGGGTAACAAAGGGCTTATTTTAGCTTATATTTCCAGGTCACAATCTTATTGAGGGAAATCAAGGCAGGAGCTCAAGCAGAAACTGAAGCAGAAGCCATGGAAGAACACTGATTACCGGCTCATTCACTGGTTCATGCTCAACCAGTTTGCTTATAACCCAAGTCTACCTGCCTATGGATGATGCTACTCACAGTGGGCGGAGCCTTCCCATATCAATCATCAGTGAAGACAATCTGATCGAGGAGTGTCTTAATTGAGGTTCCCTCATCCCAGGTGTCTCTAGGTTGTGCCAAGTTGGCAATATAAATGAACTAGAACACTAACAGGATGTGCTCTTCTAAGACCTGGAGATTTTACTACCAAGGGAAGAATAGATTTAGGATGCCATGGTAGTCATTTGATGTATGACCCACTCTTGATAATTCCAACATCTCAGTTGTACCCAAGTCTGGCTGTGATGCTCTCACGAGCCTCCAAACCATGTCTTGCCTTTATCTTAGCCACATTTTTCATCACTATGACAAAACAGCTGACAGAAGTAACTTAGGGGAGGAGAGTTTGGGTTTGGCTCACAGTTTTAGAGGGTACACTCCACAGTGGCAGGCAAGGCACAGAGATATGTTGTGACAGAGGTATATTGTGGAACTCCTCACATGGTGGCTTCATAGGACAGCAGATGAAGGACACTAGAAGCAAGGCCGGGCTGGCACTCTCAAAGGTTCACCTCCAATGACCTATCTCCATGAGCAGGGCTTCTTAAAGGTCCTATAACCCAAAGTAGTTCTGCTAGCCAGTGTTTGAACCCAAGAGCCTGTCGAGGACATCTCCCATTCAAAGCGTAACAGGTTTTTAGCAGAATTTTTCAGACCTATTTTATGTTATTAAAAATTATTAAAACCAGCCCGGCATTGGTGGCACACACCTTTAATCCCAGCACTCGGGAGGCAGAGGCAGGTGGATCTCTGCGAGTTCGAGACCAGCCTTGTTTACAAGAGCTAGTTCCAGGACAGCCTCCAAAGCCACAGAGAAACCCTGCTCGGAAAAAAAAAAAAAAAGCCCACAAAAATTATTAAAACCATCAAAAATTACCGAGGATCCCAAAGGGCTTTCTTAATGTAAACTAGTATCTACCAATATTAATCATCTTTAAAAACAAAAACCAAGAAAAACTTAAAATATCATTTATTAATAATTTTATAAACATCAAGATAAATTCATTATATGTTAACACCAGAGTGATGACAACAGTACAAGAGTAACTCCTAGGAAATTTCACCATACACGTATGAAGGAGACTAAAACAGTTAAACAATACCTTAGTATTATCAAGAAAAATCTTTTTATCATATCCCCATCTCCCATAATGAATAATGACAATAATAAAAATTTAATTTAGTGAACTGGAGAGATGGCTCAGTGGTTAAGAGCACTGGCTTCTCTTTCAGAGAACCAGGGTTCAATTCCCAGCATCTACATGGCACCTTAAAAACAGCTGTTCCAGGGGATCCAACGTCTTCTGGCCTCCCTGGGCACCAGGCACACACGTGGCAAACAGATATACATTGAAAATTTAATTTTATACAAGTAAGATTGTTTTTATGGAGAGGGTGTGGGTTGAGGCAGAGTTTTGCTATGTAGGTCAAGCTGACCTCACACTTGCTGTGATCCTCCTGAGTGCTGGACTTACAAGTATGTACTACCAACCACAGCTCTTTAGAAAGATTTTAACATTATTTTTTCTTTTCTAGAATTAGTGATTTGAGATTCTACTTAACCTTTCCCCCCACCCCCAAAAAAGGTATGTTTTTGAAAGGGGCAGGGAGGTCATAGATAGGAAAAGTCTGGTTTACACTTGGTCACATAAGAGATCAAAAATGGCTCTGTCTGATCTTTGACTTACCGTAACATTTTCCACCCTTTTCAGAAATGAAAACTGATACTTCAAGCGTCTTGTGAATCATCCCAAACACTGTTAAATTTGAACATCTGACTCAACTCATTTGAGAGAAAATCTTAAGCAAGAAATTGAACAAGAATGCTCTTGGGGGCCTGGGCAACAGAACCTAGTTGCTTTTGGTAGCAGTGGAAGGTGAAAGCACACAGGGCTGGCCCGGTAGTTCACAAAGTATGGTCTGGAGATCAGCATCAAGGCACCACCCCAGAACTTGTGAGAAATCCCAATTCCACATTTACCAACTTGGAGACTGGGCTGGCACCATAGTCTGTTTTCCTAACGCTTCCTGGTGAGTCAGGATTGGGAGATTTTGGAGGGGAATTATTTGAAGATGGCCAGGATATCCAGTCTGTAGTTACTCTTTAGTATATTCATCTCCTCTGCTTCCTCATTCCTTCCATCCCTTCCATAAATATTGCTTTTTTTCAGTGTTTTTGTGATATGTACCAGGTACATGTCTGCACCTTGTATGTCCACCTATAAACATCAATAGTGCAGGCCAAATTTAGAGTACAAGTCATAGCAGTCCCAAAGAAACCATCTTCTAGAGTGGCCTATTAGGAAAGCATCTGATAAGTATATTTCATGTCCCTTGACCTAGCCTTCTGCCCCGACAATACCCTAGACACGGGCCTCTGAATATTGAAGCTCCACAGTTCCCCACGACTTGGCCACTTAGTTTTGAGGCTATTCAAAAATTGTTCTGCCATAGTTTATGTTCTTTAGAAATTCAAACTGAAGCTTCAACAGAAGGGGGTTTCCTTTCTAGGATTGAGATAAGAACATATGGAGTCCTAGTTACCAGCCCAGAGTTTTAAAGGCTGGTTAGTAAATGATGAAAACAGAAGAACCAGCTAGGGGACCAGAATTTGATAAAGGAGCCTAAGATTGGCTAGGATGAGTTTGTGAGAGAAGGAAGGGGTGCAGGTGCTGGGGAGGAGGAAGAGGGGGGCGAGGAGAGAGGAGGAGAAGGAGTGAGTATTTACATTAGTGCTGTGCTTTTCCAAACTGGGAAGTTCCCATGAAGTCACCTAAAGCTACTTTTTCAGTATTATATATGGCATGGAAAGTGTCCATGCCACTCTGGCTTTCATCAATATATATGCATGAAAACAAAGCACACAGAGTGCTGTTGGGCCCTCTCTCTCATTAAAGACATTAGAAATGGGTAGACCCCATTCTTCAATGATTAAGTCCAGTTTTGTGATGGAGTTGAAGTTTCCTGATGTGCTATTATGGCCTGTGACTTCAGAACTTTCTAGAATCCAAGGGATCAACAGGAGACACCTGTTGAGCGAGTGTTTTGGCTTCTTTGACTTCCTTTGAGCTTCATGGTTCCCATCAACTTCTCTTGGCCTCCAACTTCTCTGAGTTTTCTAGATGGTTCTCCTACTCTTCTTCCTGGAAGATTAACTCAGTCACAGCCACATGTGCCATAGTACAACATGGTCCCCACCCAAACACAAGTAAACTCAACAGTCCACTTTAATGCTGAGATTCTAAATTGGAATTCCACCTCTGAATCTTGCTACCTTCCTACGTCAGGAAACCTAGCCTCAAGGCGTTCCCATCCTTCTGACTTCCACACACATGCAGTGTCAAGTGCCCCAATCCAAAAAAAAAAAAAAAAGTGTTAGAAAAATATTAATAAAACAGTTCAAAGGGCTGGGTTGTAGTTGAAAAGGACACTTGTCTAGCATGCACAAGGCCTTGGGTACAACTCACAGAACAAAAATATGAAATTCCTGAAAATTTAACCAATGTGAGCCAGCTGTTGCACACTCCTAGTTCCTAGTAATTGCTCCAAAACACCTCTGGCAAAGATCACATTTTTCAGTAATTTAGAGGTAGGATTTCCAATTGGTCACAAGAGGGCAACATTAGGTGAAACTAGTCTCTAGAAAGTAGACTTTTTGTATTCGTCTAAAAAAATTATCTTATTTTTAATTATTTGTCCATATTGGGAGGAGGTGTAAATGTGAGTGCCGGAACCTGTGTGTCAGAGACAACGTCTTGTTATGCCCCAGGCTGGACTCCTCTGTCGTGGGTTTCAGGTATGTGTCAAATAACTCCAGAGGTATGGTTTTTATTTTGAGGTTTTGTTTGTTCATTTTATTAAATTCTTTGACCAGCGGTGTCATATTGAGATTATATTTCGGTCTCCCTAATGGTACTGTGTGTGTGTGTGGGGGGGGGATGTCTTGGGAACTCACGTGATTTTAGGCACTTCCTTACTTCCCATTATAAACTATACTATTACTTCTCAAGAAGAGCCTATCCTCTGGTTCTGAGTGTTTGGATCTCCAAGCTACCAAAGGCTACTGCCAGGTAGATGCTCATTCTGAATAGGGAGAAGGTCTAACAAGTGCAGAGACTCCTAGACTGTCAGGCATATGACATCTTGCTTCATCCCCATCCCAAGAGAACATTTTAAGGGGATGGGTAGGTTGCCAGGGTTAGAGTGGTCCCTAGTACAACAACCATCGGGGGCACCTCATTTGGGCTGCAGTGATCTCTACTTCTTGATTCACCTGGGAAAAGTAGGAGCAGGCCAGATGAATAAGAATGGGAGGAATCGGATTCCCACCTCACCCATGTATGTTACTAAAGGATTTAAGAGATCGGGGTGGGCCAGAACCTGCTTTGGCAGGACGAGGGTGCCCTTCACATTTGGGACTGCCATTGTTAGTTTAATTATCAATTTAACCCAACCTAAAAGCACTGGAAGGGAAATACTCATTGATGGGCTACCTAGATTATTCCTTGTGGTCATGTCTGCAGGGGATTGTCTTCATTATGTAAATTTATGTGGGATGACCCAGCCCATGGGGTTAGGTCCCAGATATAGAGAGAGAGAGAGAGAGAGAGAGAGAGAGAAAGTGAGCTTCCATAAGCCCATTTCTCTCTGCTTTTGATTGTGGGTGTGACATGAGTAGCTGCTTCAAGTTCCAGCCACCTTAGCTCCCACACAATGATGGATTGCAACCCGGAACTGTGAGTCAAATAAACCCTTTCTTCCTTAAATTGCTTTGTCTGGGTTTTTTTTATCATACCCACAGGAAATGAAACTAAGACAGGGGCAGAATATCTCACACAGATGACTCTAATGAGGACAGATGGGTTTTTCTCAAGATGGTTTTATGTTCTTACCTCTTTTTAAAAAATGATTTATTTAGTTTTTTGATATAAGGTCTCATGTAGCCCAGGATGACCTTGAACTTCTGATTTTTCTGCTTCTACCTGCAGAGTGCTGGGATTATCAGTGTCCATGCCACTATACCTGGTTTCTTGTGGTACTGAGGTCAAGCCTGGGCTTTGTGAATGTGCTTAGGCACCTGGTCTACCAACTGAACAACATCCCTAGGCACTATATTTATTTCATCTATTTTGGGATCTGTCTCACTAGGAAGCTGAGGCTGACAATGCTATTGTCTATGCAGCCCAGTCTGCCCTCAAGCTCAAACTCCTGCTCTTCCTGCCTCCAGATTCTGAGTGCAGGGATTAAAGGAATGTGCCAGTATGCCCATTCATTGTCCCCCTCCCTCCCTCCCTTCCTTCCTCCCTCCCCCCTTCTTTCTTCCCTTCCTCCCTCCCTCTCTCTCACTGTTCAAGTATGTATGTATGGGTACATGTGTGAGGGAGTAAAAGTGGATGTGGAGGCTTGAGGTCAACCTTGGGTATTGTTACTTAGCCCATTCACATTCTTTTTGAAACAATGTTTCTTAAGGAACCTGGAGTTCACCAGTTTTGCTAGGCTGGCGGAGTCGGAGGAATCCACTCCAGCCTGCCTCCTCCAGACTAGAAACACGGGAGATCGCCCATCATATTCAGCTGCTGTTTGGTTGGTTTTGTTTTTTTTTTGTTTTGTTTTGTTTTAGGAAGCTTTAGGGGATGGAACACAAGTGCTCATGCCTGCATGGTAAGCACATTACTGAGGGAGGGATCTTTCCAGCTTGTCAGTTGCGGGCAGTATTCATGCTGCCAGGCCAGGGACCAGACGCTGTGGGCACTTAGCCCTTACAGCGTCAGACTCACTCACCATCTCCGTTGCCAGGTGAGCCCACTCAGAAGAAGGATGCTGATGAGCAGGAAAACACAGCTGGCCACTGTCAAAAGGGAGAGAGAGAGAGAGTTCAGGTTGAGCACTGGGGCCATGCTTTGGGGGTGCAGTAGGGTGTGGAGCCAAGGAGCTGGATCTGTAGGGCAGAGGAGAAAATTCCTTAGGTAAGCAAGGACCTCCTGCACAGCTGGAGCCTATAGCTTCTTCTTTCTATAGGAAAGGGGCTGGCACTTGTCCTCTGGAGTGGACTGCAGTTGAAACTTGAGGAAGGATCAGAGGACAGGCCTCACCATGAAGGAAATGTTGAAACAAGATGAGAAATCCTAAACACACTGATGTCTCCTGTAGACATTTACACTTCCCAAATGTTGCCTTGTGAAGGTTCTAAAATCCACCATTTTTTCCAATGGTCCAGGCAGATGTAGCTTTGAAGCCTGTTTTTTACTTCCTACCAGGAAGAACTGAGGTGCTCAAGGACAATTTTTCTCTCACTCTGGGTCATGGCTTTGTTCCTCACAAAAGTTTGGGGGGCACTGTTCTTGAAGATATATGTGGGAGGAAGTGGTTTATGCTCTTGGTTTATACTGATTGACAGGACCTAGAGTCACTTTAGAGACAAAACTCTGGGCATGTCTGTGCAAGACTATCTAGATTAGGTTAACTGAGGTAGGGAGATCCATTCTAAAAGTGGGCACTGCCATTCTGTGGGCCAGGATGCTAGCTCCATGAAAAGGAAAGTGAGCCGAGCAAAGCACTCATCTCTCTCTCTCTCTCTCTCTCTCTCTCTCTCTCTCTCTCTCTCGTTTTTATTTTATTTTCTTGAGACAGGGTCCTATCCTGTAGTCCTGGCTGTTCTGAAACTCACTATGTAGATCAGGCTGACCTCAAATTCCCAGATATCTGCTTGCCTCTGTGTTCTGAATGCTGGAATTAAAGGCATGCTCAGCCTTTCCATGTTTCTTAACTGCAGATGCAATGTGACCAGCTGCTCAGTCCCCTCTGCCATGCATCCCCATAGTGATGGACTGGATTCTAGAACTGTGAGTCAGAACAAGCCCTTCTTCCCTTCAGTTTGTTTTGTCAGACATTTGGTCAAAGCAATTCAAAAGGTAGCTAATACAACTCCGAACATTCTGAGCAATGTTAGCATCGAAAGCCATCTTTTCCCCTTATAAACATTAGTGAAAGGAGGGATCATTTCACGTCTTGGCATGCTGCACAATTTGTCCGTAAAAGAAATGAGATGACCCACCTGCTATCTGATGCTCTGCTGTAAGTATGAATGTCTCCATAGTTGTAGCTGCTTCTGTGAGGAACTGGAAGTCTGTGGGAAAGAGAGACAAGGAGACACTCAGTTTATAGCAAGCATAGGACTGTACAAGACCAGAGGAGGAGAGGTGTCTTAGTGGATTCATCACTCAGTTGGGGGAAGGGATGGGAGGGGCCAGGTTAGGAGGATCTGTCTGGAAACTTCAACCTCAGTTGTGTGATTTCTCCTTCTGACACTTCCTTTAGATTGTTTGTGTGTGTGGAGGGGGTGTGTGCATTCATGTGTGTGCATGTATTCATGTGTGTGTGCATGTATGTATGCAAGTGCCCATATACATGTATGACCTATGGAGGCCAGAGGTCAATGTCAGATGTCTTTCTTAATTGATCACTTATTTTACTTAACCTGAATCTCATTGGTTCAGTTAAACTAGATGATGGCCAGCAAGCCCCAGATATCTTCATGTTTCTGCCTCCCCAGTGCTGAGGTTATAGCCAACTAATGCCATATATAACTTTTTAAAAATTTGAGCATGGTTTCTGGGGGGTCAAAATCAGGTTTTATGCTTTTCGTGACAAATACCTTATCATCTGAACCTTCTTCCCAGCCTGCCTTGGGTTGATTATGTTGCTATAACCATAATTATATGGGGGAGAGGAAGGCAGCTAGGGCCAGCTTCCTCTATTATTCATCCCTGGAGAAGCTTGCATGGCCACTGTCTGCCCTTGCCTGGTGGCCAATGCCTGTTCTCAGAGGCTCTCTCTATACCTGTGGTGGTGATGGGACAGGAAGTCTCACTCTCAGGAAAAGGATCTCCACTTCCTTGAGATTCTTCACTAGCTGCAGAAGAGAAAAAGTAATGAATTTGGAACCCAAGATGGAGATTTGGGACTCTAATGCCTTCCACCACCTGTCAATTGCTGTTGGCACCAGCTACACCTGCTAAGGCATGACACCTTGTCTGGGCATGTCTCAGGGACACAGTTCTACACCAGGGGCACCAGAAGCAGTTAAATGGCTATAGTAGAGCATATAAGGGGGAATTCTAACCCTGACAGGTACTATCTATTGAACTGTGAGCAAGTCTTTCTCTCCAGCCTTCCTACTCAGTCCTGGACTCCACCCTTGACTTGGAAATGCGTCAAAAAATCACACACCCATACCCACCACCAAATGATGCTTTTACAGTTAATTTGTGATCAGTGACCCAGTGTGCTGGCTAGTTTTATGTTCACTTGACGTAGGCTAGACTCATCGGAGAGGAGGGAACTTCAATTGAGAAAATGCTGCCATAAGATTGGGCTGTAGGCAACCCTGTAGAGTATTTTCTTAAATAATGATTGGTGGTGGAGGGCCCAGCCCATCATTGGTGATGCCACCTCTGGGCTTGTGGTCCTTCTATAAGAAAACAGGCTGAGCAAGCCAGTAAGCAGCATTCTCCCATGGCCTCTGCATCAGCTCCTGCCTCCAGGTTCCTTCCCTATTTGAGTTCCTGTCCTGACTTCCTTCAGTGATAAACAGTGATGTGGAAGTGTAAGTCAAATAAACCTTTTCCTCCCCAAGTTGCTTTTGGTCACAGTATTTTATCACAGATATCTAGGAGCTTGCCATCCCATCTCTTACAAGGAAAACCACTTGCATGCTCTGACCCATGAGGCTGGCTCACTGGAAGCAAGTTATGGGAAAGACATAGCAACCTGAGAGAACCACGGAAGAAGTCACGGAATGTTACAAATGGCAGTAGGTGAAGAAACAAGAAAATTCATGAGTAAATTTGAGTAACTTTTGCTTATGGAAGTAGTAAGATTTCAAACAAATATGGCAGAAGACCTCAACACAGGCAGGTTGTATGTGAGCAGCAGTATGTGAACATACATGCTAAAGCAAACCACTTGCCACATACTTGTATTTTTTTTAAATCAAAGATCATGGAGTACATTAATAGGGGAGTGTAATGACAGTGGAATACTGTACAAATGATGTAACTATATTAAATACAATTGAAAGGAAAAAAAACATGCGGGTTTGAAACTGGACTTCCCCTTGTGAGCTATGGGAAGTCTTGGTAGTTGGGCAGAAATTATGGAAGTTCAGGATCATCCAGACACAGGATAGCATTATTACAATGAGACAGCATCTTATATTCATTGGAACACTAAAAAGATCACTATTTCTCTGCCTCTAACCATTTATGTATGAGCAGAGATGAGGGGATCTCAGTGTTGATCTGTTCTGCTTTAAAAGATGAGAACTAGAGGGTCAAGTGGCTTTTCCAAAGTCCCATGGCAGAGAGGAGTCTCACCTTGGTCAGATGGAGAAAAGAATGGATGGACACAAGAAAGGAACACCTACCTGGAAACTGATGGTGTTCTCTTTCATCAACACATGTGAGCTGGGGCTGAGTCCACCCTGTGTTCCCACAGATCATTTTGCAGATACTTATGGCAGGACCTTTCTGTAGGGCCTTGTATCCTGGAAGGCACTCATAGTGAAGTCTCTGTCCTACCATGAAATGATAGATTCTCTTGGTATCTTCATGTTCCCAAGGAGGGGGCTCCCTGCAGTGACCTGGAAGAGGAAAATAATTCTGAAGGTAAGTTTGGGAAGTGTAGTGAATGCCTCTGTAGGTTGCTTCTTGAACCCAGAGTAACTCTGGTTGCTAGTAACTGGGCCTTGGTTCTTATTCTTTTGTTTCTTACTGAACCTATGGCTATTGAGAGCATCCAGGGGGCAGGAAGGTAGGCATTTTAGGAAGGCATGGAACCCAGTGATGTACAGCTACTTGAAATATTCCCTCTTGGAGGGAGGCTCCTTTGGATTCAAAAAAATAAACAAAATGCACAGGTCTCTGGAAGTTCCTGAAATTCACCAAACCCCTGCACAAAGTTACATAAACAGTAACAGTGACTGAGGGGGTCCCTCAAATTGTTGGTGCTCTCTGCCAGTCCTGCAGGGATCTCCATGGATGCAACTTTCATGGGTTGTCATCCATGCTGGGGTGGGTTTTTGGTGATGCAGCTGCATTTGAGTTATCCATTATCCCAAGCCCAATAAATTCATTGGTTCATTGCATGATATGTGGATAGAATCATTTCTTTGGCTTATTGTCAGTGTTCTATCTGATGAACAGATGTTTGTACAAGGCTCCCTAGGAAAAGTCACATAGTGACCTGTCACTCGTGCAAGGGTCAGATAGTTGATTAGTCAAGTACATAGGTAGGTGGATAAAAAGTGGGTATTGCAAGTGAAGAGTGGATATCTGCTAGGGTTACAGGGGATGAGATCTTCATTTGATTGATGTTCTGAAGATCCTGAGGGTTTTTCAAAAGTAGGGGCGCTCAGCTGGGAGCCAGCAACAGGGCAGAGCACTCTGTGTTTCCACAGAATAAGTGAGGAGCCACAAATTTGAGTGGCAGTTGGTAATCATTCTAGGACTTTGCTGAGCTGACAGAGGATAAGCCTTATATCCAGAGGAGGGGAGACACTGAGAGAATCTCAGAGAAATGCATCATGGTCCCTAATTAAACCACATCTGCAGCTTGATCCACTTTGACTCCATCAGACCTGTGCCCAGAAACTTCACACTCACTGCACTGACCCAGGCTTGGCTGAACTTTGCCCCCCCCCCCAGATCATGGCCAGTTCTGATTTAATGGAATTCCATACCCACTGCCCTCCATGTGATCAGATGGAACTATATAGCTTATCTAAGTCTGGATCATGAAGTCACTCATAGGTTTGGAACCTGCCAGATTCTCAAAACAATCTCCAACAGGACCAACTGCATACAAGCACTCTGCCCCAGTAGGAAGCTGAGTGTTCCTGGCTACATTGCAATTTGCCTAACAGAACTAGAACTGTGTTTCAGTCTCAAAACAAAATATTATTTTAAGGTCAAAAAATCATAATTGAACAGGACCTGTTTGAATTTGGTACTTTTTGACTTTTCAAGACAGGGTTTCTCTGTAGTTTTGGAGCCTTTCCTGGAACTTACTCTGTAGAACACACTGGCCTTGAACTCACAGAGATCCTCCCATCTCTGCCTCCTGAGTGCTGGGATTAAAGGCGTGTGCCAGCACTGCCCAGCTTTGATCTGTTTCTATAAGATGGAAACACCAAACTGTGACAATTTATGAAACATCCCTCAGCTAGAAACAATTCTCTCTCTCTCTCTCTCTCTC